GTCAGACTATAGAGTGCTCGCGTTTTGCTAAAGTAGCGCCGCTGTGCCCTGCGTGCGCACGCGTCAACGCTAAATTTGAGTATATTTTGTTCTTCAGGAAGTGCTCGCGGCCGTTTTGCTAGCTCCACATATACAAAATTTGGTGTTAAGTGACGTCAAGAGATGACGAAGTATATGACTGGAGCAAACATGATAATCCTGACACGCGTGTCATGTGAGAACGTGACAACATACCACGCTCATATCGTGCTCACTGGCCATTTTGCTAGCTCTAAATATACTAAATTTAGTATTACGTGACGTGAATAAATGACGAAGGTAAACGACACATTCAAACATGATAATCATGACACAGAAGTAATGTACAGCATTCTTTACCTCTACCTCGTAACGTTGTGCTGATTTAAAGTGACAAATCAACATTTCTTATTCATGCTTCGAATATCACCGACTCCCACTGTACGTGGGATCTGCCTTTTCTTTTTTCGTACATAGCTAACGCTAGTGGAATTACAAAGAACCATTTTCGACATAAGAAAATGCTCGGTAAACTTGAAGGCTTTCATCATGAAAGAACTGGAGCCAACGTCAACTTGAGTTTATACAACCAGCACGCCGTGACGTGATATACAGCCATAACCTCCGCTGAGCCCTGCGTAATTATTTACTCATGGTTATCAAGAAGAATTATAGGGACTATTGCGGTAAGAACTGAGAAGAGCAGCTGATAGTTTTAAAAACTTAGCTTGGTTGCGACGCAAAGAACGAAGTAACGAATAGTGCCAGTTTGACGAAATGTATTGTAGCGGCCGGGAATGTCGGCTGCTGGAGGCAGCGAGAAAGGAGACGTGAAGCTGGTTTGGAGTTGCAGGGCAAGACTGTTTATTTCCACTCCGTGCGAGTGACGAGAGCTCCCCTCGACGAGGGAGAGAAGGAGGCACCCCCGCGTTCTTCTACAAGAAAGAGAAAAGGGGGAGCTTGGGTGTCTTGAAGGGGATCGGTTGCGTCGTTGCTCGTCCTGTTGGGGAGCGCCAGATAGCACAAGTTTCTGCATGGTCTCGGTAAGGTGTTGCAGTTTCTCCTCAAGGCGCGACAGTCGATCTGGTTGCTCATGTGTTCTTGCAGCAGCTATGGGCGCAAAGGTTGGAGTTGAGTATTCCGTGATGCGATCGGCAAGTTGCGCTAGTTGATCAAGGGACGTCTCATTTGAACCCGCGAGAACCACGCGCACCGAGTGGGGGAGCCGTTGCAGGAAAAGTTCACGAAGAAGTGGGAGCTGGCCGTCCTGACGCGCGTGCACACCGAGTAGTTGCCGCATACGGTGCAGCAGTTGGGAGGGTCGTTGGTCGCCCAGCTCTTCGCGACACAAGAGCTGCTGCAGTCTGCTTTCTTCAGGCGCCTCGAGGCAGTCCAGCACCGTCTTTTTGAGGGTGCCATATTCTACTTGCGCGGGGGGTGAAACCAAAATGTCGTCGATAGCGTCGGCGATTTCGGGGGGCAGGGCTGCGACAACGTGAAGGTATTTTGTCGACTGCGAGGTGATGTGCCGGAGCTGAAAACGGGTCCCCACTTGGCTGAACCAAACTCTTGGATTTTCGGCCAAAAATTTGGTAGCTTCAGTTCTGTGGCGATGACCGCAGGCGTGGAGGCAGCAGCCTTGTCGTCGGAGCTCATCGCGGCGTGTTCGTTGAAGCGTTCGGGTCACCAAATTTGGTATTACGTGACGTGAATACATGACGAAGGTACACGACACACGCAAACATAATAAGCATGACACAGAAGCCTTGTACAGCATCATTTACCTCCACCTCGTAACGTTGTGCTGATTTTAAAGTGACATATCAACATTTCTGATTCATGCTTCGCATAACACCATTTCCCACTGTACGCGAATCTGCTTTTTTTCGTACACAGCTAACGATAGTACAATTTCAAAGAACTAATTTTGACATAAGAAAATGCTCGGTAAACTTGAAGGCTTTTATCATGAAAGCACTGGAGACAACGTCACCTTGGGTTTATACAACCAGCACGCCATGACGTGATATGCAGCCATAACCTCCGCTAGGCCCTGCGTAATTATTTATTCGTGGTTATCAAGATGAATTGTAGGGACTATTGCGGTAAGGGCTGAGAAGAGCAGCTGATAGTCTTAAAACTTAGCTCGGTTGCGACGCCATGAACGAAGTAACGAATGGTGCCAGTTTGACGAAATGTATAATCTGCAGAAATAGTGGAGCTGCGGTTACCTTTTGGTTCTGTTGTGATTGCCGCTTCATTCGCGACAAAGACGTCATCAATAGGTGTAACTGGGAACCATTCACTGCGGTAAGACATTAAGCACTCTTCAAGTTCGAGCCTTGTTTTTCGTTTGTGTGGCTACAGCTTCGTTCCCGACTGAGGCAAATAAACGCCATGGGAAGTTATATTTGGTAACCGGAGCCTGGCACGTGACGTGGAAACTCAGTTGTCGTGAGGCCCAGCCGTAGAAAAGCTCTGCTGCTTAAACGGAGATCATTAGTAAGACAACTCATACGGCTGCTAGTTCCAAAAGACTCGTTGCTGACTCGTGATACAGCTGAAGATGTCAACTGTATCGTACCGGAAAAAATTGATTAGTTCATGAAACTCATCTCGATTTTTGCTCTCTCTTTGTAAAACACTTCTTTGTACATTATTAACGCTCTTTGTTAAACAAGAAAACTCAAGATTACAGTCCACTACATGTAAAAAAAGAATGTCCATTCTATCGCTAATTTCACCGACTGTCTGGGAAGGGACGCGCAGCTGTGCGTGCTATGCAGCATGGTGATCGTGACGTCAGCTGTGACGTTCGAGCAGCGCAGGACGGAAAAAGGAAACAGATGCCACCGACTGCTGGAGCCGATTTCCGTGGCACGTGGTTCTGGTGATTGGAGCCGTGCAGGTCTTGAGCAAAATCATTGAGGTAAGTATCGATATCTTATTTAATCACAAAAGCCAAAGCTCCTAGAAAGCCATTGCAGGAATGGATGTAATAATCAAACGTAACTCCTTGAAGCTATTATTCAGGCGATAGCCTGAGGTGTTTATGTTGAAGCCCCCTTCGAAGAGCCGTCTACACACTAACGTCACAGTGCCGCGACGAGATAGCCATGAATGAAAAGAAAAATAAAGCTTTCACATGGAATAGAGCCCTAGTGCTCTGCGTGGCAGGCAAGTATTCTACGCCAGAGCCACAACAGTGCTTGATACTGCTTTGAAAAAAGAACCCATACACTCATGACGTTGGCCAAGGGGTCGCATTAACAGTTTTAATATGGTGGGGCAGAACCGTAAAATACTCAAAGGCGAGTTCAAAGTCTGAGAAGCAGATACTGCGAAAAAAATTATCAGCACACCTTCGAACAATACCTGAAAGACGAAAGCCTCCTAGAAAGACGTATACGTCGGCTCATTTCGCAATAAAAAATGCATTTTGATGACGAGACTTGCAAGTGGAATCCTCCGGTAGCAAAGCCCGATGCTTTAACCCAAAATACACAGGACAACGACGTTTCATTAACTCTACGCATAGAAATGTGGCTGGTTAAGTGAACCACCAACATGCGATGTTCATGTTATATGACAGCTGCTTCAACGGGCCCTGAAGCACCCTTTTATTTATTGGTATAATTGACAACCACCTGTTAGTACCACGAAGCCACAAGGAAGTTAAAGAGAAATTCATCCTGGTTCGAGGATCTAACGAGGCTCCAACAATTTCCGGGGATGGTCACTTACCAATTAAGCAAACCAGAGTTATACGGTTAATAACAGCGCAGAGGCAAATCAGTCATCACCTGAAAGCGTATGGACGCAGAATTTTGCAAGTAATCTCCAAAGGCTTATTGATGGGCACATGCATATGCATGCACTAGCAATTCTGATGTTCCATGTGTCCTAGAACACAGCCACAAAGCCCGATGAACATAACTAGAAACACAGCACATCCAGATGCTTGAAACCAGGCAGGACTTATTTCTTTTCTACTGCTCCACAGAACTCTTGTGCATTCTAAACTGAGCATTCATCCTCAAGACGCACAATGAGTTGCCAAATGTGATGTAGTACCTGTTCTCTTTCATTTTGAACAACGCGTCCTTCTAAATGAACGTTCCTGCATTATAGGTTCTCAACTAGTTATCATATATTATTCTCATCTGCATGATCGTGCTTGAAGCGGCAGAGAGGACGATGATCGAACGGATGTGCCGTCCAAAATATACGTCAGCGCCCGGCTTAGCCTTGAACTCTTCCTCCAAATTATTTGTATGCCCTGACCGGTAAATCTGATTCAAATAATTGCGGAGCGTACACGCTCCGATATCCGGCAGCGGTTCTGGTAACTATAAATGTAACGTAGCAGCGAACTCCCAAACATCTGTTGGAACTCCGTACCCCATTCGTTATCATGTAATCGGCTAACACACCTTGGGCCTGCAGGTTACGTGGATTGGCCTGCTACCTGCGCACTTTTCGGGGACAATTCAAATAGAGAAGAAATGGAAAGAAAACACGCTTCCCCGGAATGTGCCTGGTGGCTACTTTTCGTCAAATAAGAGGGGTCCGTGGCGACCACAAATGAGTGGTGCGTATGGCAAGCTTTGGCGGTTGCCGGCTCAAGTGTCGATATAGTTGGGCATTTTATACTCTCCTTCTTCCCAACGAATGAGGGAGCGATTTTTTCCTAGTTTTAGACTCACCGGTCGAAGACGCATTTTGCGCGTAGTTCATTACGTCGGTTTTCTCAATTCATCTAGATCCCAGAGTCTCGTCTTCTCTGTTTTGTCTGGCGGGGCAATCAGTTTCAGTTTAACCGTGATTCGTAGTATTGTGCAACATGCAAGTGGGACTTTCTCAGAAGTTGCTAGCGGTTTTAAGGATAGGCAATGTCTTTAGATGTTCTACCTCGGCTATTAGCTTGTGCATCACTCCACGTTTTAGTTGTTTCTCAAGCTGTCTGTGCCAACGTGATGCAGGCCAACAACACGCTGACGAAGACCTTGCGCCCGTCTTCCTGGATGCAGCAATCTCCGCTCACGGTGCAAATCGTTCTCGCCGTGGTGGCTGCGCTGCTCTCGGAGGCCATGAACAACGAATCACTCAGTCGCATGCTGCTACCACTCACCATTCATGCGGTACACCATCTAGCTTAAAGCAGATATATTTCAAGCAGTCTTGAAGACGATGTCTTTTCGGTGTTCTTGCGGTAACTCCCTCTATTAGATTGGCATGTCAACGGTGACATCTCACTCAGTTTAATTTTGTTATCAAGTTAGAAACCCTCGTTTGCTACAGTATTTGCTCGATTACAGGAATAACGTGTCAAATCTCAGTAGAATTTTTGAATAATGCTGGGTAATTGCAGAATAATGCCGGCTAGTAGTAGCGAGTGTTGGCTACTCTCAAGTTAACATGACTAAGAATATAGTTACTACAGACCAAATTATAAGGAAATGCCTGTTTTGTTTCCTGCGTTCTTATCATGCCACCATGATGCACGAACATGATTGAGAGGTTAATAAGAGTTTTTATAGTGTTTTCAAAGCCTATAACTGCCTATTTTTGAAGTTTGTGCCACAATTTCAACATCAATGGACATTTTCATAATCAATGAACATTTTCATAATGGGTACCTATGTGAACGTTTCTTAGCCTCAAATATCGCTTTCAAGTACAGTTGAAGATCGCTATTCAGGTCACCGGGCAAAATTTAGCTTTCGGAACTCTATGGGGTGCAACCAATACTCCACCTCATAAGTTTATTTCAGTGCTGGCAAGGCCACAAGTCATCTTAGCCAATGACCAGCCCAATTAGCCTCTACACATGTATTCATCCGTGCCGCGTCGTCTGCTCAGCATCTCCCTGGCATCTGCTGGCATGCGTAGGGAACAGGAGGTGCTTCTGTGCAGCCACATGACAATGAATAACTAATGCGAAATCGTGGTGAGTCGTCAGGGTAAAGTAGCGTTTAAATTAGAAAAAAAATCCACGTGTTTTTTGTTTGTCATTTGTTTCTTAAATGGGTTTTACCAGGTCACATGAGAAATTTTTGTTAGACACTGTACATTGTGGCGAGCCACCACTTTGTAGCAGAAGAATTTTTCTATTTGGTGTGGTACGAGCCGCAAAGGCATGATGCGAGGAGGTCAGCTTGAAGCATTTGCCATTCGCTCGGTGTTGCTTCCTGCTCTCTCGTGGTGTAGCTTCCTATTCGTATACAAATGATATTGGTTACTCTCTTTTACAGTTATATATAGAGGAAATCTTTATTATTTGCGTTGTACTATACGACTTATTACATATAAAAAAAGGGGCACGTTAGAACATGCGATGTATATAGAATTCACTCCACTGATGATTCATGAAATATACTCGGGAAAGGAGACTGCAACCCCCCCCCCCCACTGCGACAATTATAATGACACTAAATCATGCGGGTATTGTTGTTTTTGCATCATCACCATTTGTAACACTTATTGCTTTTTTGCTTGCTAAAAACAATATTATCATTAACTCAGTTAAAAATACAGCTTGACGTAATTGACAAACGGTTCATAACCGACAGTCACCAAGTACCTTGACTTTTTCGTTATGCTGTAGCTTCACACGAAAAAAAAAGGAACATTTTTTGGAGTAGTATGGTGTGGTCGACATCCATAACAGTTGAATGACGGTAAATAATAGGTAAAGGTACACTGAAAAGAAAAATCTTGTTTTGCGCGTTGTTAGTAAAGTACAATTTCGCAATCCCGAAAACACTACACTCAACGCGACACGAAACTTGGTAAGCAAGAAAACGCGCGAAAAGAAAATGCGGGTGCCGACATCACCTTGAGATTCCCGTTCCAAACACCCAGAAAATCTAAATATTTCCCTCATTTCCTCAAAACATTGATCCCATATATGACGCAGAGAAGAGGAGAAAGGGGAGCACAAACTCTAATCAGACGCCTTGGGTCAAGTTGGATGCGGCAAGTGGCCAAAAGGGCGCGGCAGTCGCCTTGGTAGTCGACGGCCAAGGTGCCACCGTATAAGCCGCCACCATTATAGAAGACGCAATACGATAACGGCTGAAGAACTTGCGATAGCGCTCGCTAGCGTTGGAACAGGAGCTCATATTATAATCATCGATACCAAAACGGCCATCTGAAATTTCGGTAAATATTGGATCTCGCCCGAAGCGGCAAGGGTTTCGTTTGGTATAGACAGCTAAACAGAAACATTAGCCTAATGTCGACTCCAGCACACACGTGCGCGCCTGGCAAAGAGGTGACCCCCGAGTTAGCCCGAGCCCTCTACTTTCGGGTCACTGTGGAGTCACCCGACTGCCACAACATGCACGAGAGCCTACAAAGTTAGACTGAAATCTTTGAACATTATCGGCTACTTCAGAGAGCGAAGCTGGTACCAGATAAAAACCTGAACAGTAGGGAGGCTAGTCGCATGGCGGCGCCTGCAAGATGGCAATTACGTAAACCCGGTCTGGGCATATCATGATTAGAAGGACGATGGGCAAAGCGATATAGATGAAAGCACTGTGGGGCGAGAGGGACCCTCTACAATATAAATTGTAGAGAAGCCTGGGAAGCCCTGCTGCAGAGCGAGGGCCCTGCTTCACAGCAACAAGCCAAGCCTGGCAGAAGAAGCAGCGAGGAGTCGGAACCTCATCGTATGCTTGTAATCGCGAAGGTGCCAGCCCCCGTCACCTGTAGGCATGTGTGCCTACAGGCATGTGTACCTGTAGGCACACATGCCTACAGGCACACATGCACATGTGCGCACACATGCACACATGTACATGCACACGTGTGCATGTGTGCCTGTGTGTAGGCATGAAGAGTGTATACGAAGCCGTCTTATCTGGCGGAACAATAAAGTTGTCAACCGTCAATGGTGCACCAAACATCATGACGTAAGAAAGTTTGAAGATGTCTACTGGGTCCTACACAGCTTGAAATCGATAAAAAGAAAAGACGTTTTTCATTCTATATAACTGTAATATCTGGGTGTCATAGAGTGAGCATACTTAGTTTAGAATATTTCGTAGAGCCAATGCCACGAAAATATCGAATATACTTTTTTCAATTCTGACGTCACGCGCGGATATGTTCGGACAAATTTAAAAGACTATTCTTCAACCTTAAACTTCTCCGCTAATAATGAACTTAAGATAGAAAAATATATGGCATTGGAATTTTCAGAGTGGAGTCCTAATCTGAACTAAGTGATCGTTCCTCTTTAGTGTCTCTTTAAACTACAAAATCTCACTGTCCTCTTTAGGGACAAAGAGTACTTGACGGATCAAAGCCGATGCGTCTGTGTCGGCGCAAGAGCCGCCATTTATGCATTATACTGTCCCTCAGTCCGGTCAAAGTTAGACATTTGTCGTGTTGTGCTCTTTACTGTGTCTCTTTCCATATATTATGGGCCGAATGTGATATATTCTGCCATAACACTCGCGTCCTTGCTACATTAGTCTCTACACTGTTGATTGCCGTGTTGATTAACCAGCTGACTGAAAAATAGTCGTCCAATGAATTGTTTAGTAACCGCCATTTTTCATGATGCTATTTCGGGCGCTTTCTTGAACTGTGCTTGTTTTGTGACATCAAAATGTTTCAGAGCGAAATAAAGTAGAAGTGAAGTGTTTCACTTCGTAGTCTATACTATATAAGGTTAATCCGTGATATGGGACACGTACTGACCAGAACACAAAGCTGAGTCTGCACTAGACCTTCGACAGCACTTGTACAGACTCGTCCACTGCTAAACAAAACACTTGCGTACAGAACATGTGCAGAATTCGCTTTCTTGCAAAAGCATAGCGGCCTATATTCGTATAATACTACTGGTGGTTTACAGGCAAAAATATTTTAGACAGATTAGTGCCATGTGCGAAGTATATTCTAAGTTAACTGGCAGTTAAGCATTCAGCAACATGAAGATTGCTCATTCAAATGTTCCTTTCAACAGTGAACGGTACTGTGCGTACATCTTGTTTAGAATAGGTATATCGGGGTCCGCTACATACGTTGTCATGCGCATAGAACGCGGGGAGGCAAGAGGGGGGTAATTACTCAAGAGGGGGGGTGCAAAGATAGCCCCATACATCGTCATAATATGGCCGGGGGGAGTCTGCGATGAACCCTCGCCTTCTGAAGGTAAACGCTTCACACGCCTTTGTCTACGGACGTATTTAGTACAGTGTGATCACCAACATCATCAAGCGACTTTCGTGTTATGAAATGACCCTCGTAAAGCATGAAGTGATTCTTTCACTGCGACCACTTCAGAGACGTAGCGATCTTGTCGGCGCAGGCTGTGAGTACGCGCATGCATCCCATCTACTACGCGATACCTGTGGTCGTGGCAGCGTCGTCCAACCTGATCATGCCCATCACGCTTCCCCTGGTGATTCTTCACGAGGTCGCCGAAGTGCCCTTGCGACACCTGGTGGGTATCAACATGATCACTGTGCAGTCAAGGGCATTTGCGAGCCGGACGAATATAATGTGAACAGAACAATGAATGGAGTTACCTCGTGAATGTTCGATTTGTTCTCCCTAGGAACTCTGTCAGTAAAGCGGTGACCGAGGCGAATCGGTTCACATAAAAGCTTAGATTATACGCAGAATGCATTATTCGCGATGAAACAGACATTCACACATTCTTAGGTGAACGAAAAAGAGCGCTTTGTGCAATACTGTTTCGTTAACCTCTGTCTGTCTGAGCGACTTCATTGTAATTTTTAAATCACCGCATAACCCAATTGTTTACCTAAGAATGCGTTCATTTAAGATCATTACCAAAAAAAAAACTGAGACGTGCTCCTCGGCGGCTCAGTGGTTAATGCCTTGCGCTCAAAAGAAAAAAAACTGAGTACAAATTTTCCAGACAACACGCTATCTTATGAAAACGTGTGTGATCTTGTCTTCCGTTTTCATCATTTGAGCGTGTTGCATTCTTAGAAATAGAAACGTGTGTCTATACTGCTTCCTATTGTATACTTACAAAAGGCCAGACTTTGACGACGAAACATCGTGGCGCAGGTGCTCGCAGGCTTGGTCATGAAGACGGCTCTGCTATCCACGCTGATCATCTCAATGAACACGACCGCCCAGTATATCTTCTACATATCGCCAGCGGTCAGGGCACTCAACAGCACCAGCCTAGCCTCGCGCAATCAGGCGCCTCATTACTGAACACAGAAGAATCGAAGCAAGCGACATTAGTGGCAGGACTTCGTGTTTCGAATTTCTCTTCAATCATCGAATATGTTACATTTATTCGGATTGCATAAAAATATAAGCTTCGGGAAGACAGTAAGAACAATCAAATAATAGAGATGTGACTTCACGTAAGTAATATTCATATTTTTATCACACCACGTGCGACAAACGCTTGGGCTTTCGACGCTATCTTCGGCACAAATATACACCATGCGTACAACCTACTTAGATTGTAACACAAACGCGTTTTCTTCGTGTGGGGTAGGACATGTCGCGCTGTTGATGTTGTTGAAGAGTGTAGGTGTTGAACACCTTCACTTTTCCTTGTCTCACAGAAAATCGCCAGATTTTCAATGCGGCATTAGCGGCATCACGCTTCAGACGTTATCCTCGTCGACATAGCCACGTGCAATAGAAGACAGGAATTGTATGATTCTCTTGACTAGAACAAGGCATCTGAAACCAATGTCACAACGCGTGTGCCTCTCGTCAGAAGTAAAGATTGTCGCAGAAAGTATGGCAACATAGGTGTAGAGAGCAATACCATTCCCTCATTTAGAAGCATGAGTTCAGTAAGAAAAAGTAGCATGTCTCAAACTGCCGAGTGGCGCAGTTCATGGCTTTCTGGTGGCGTTAATTTTTCTTTACGAATTTCGCGTTATCAGATTATGTATGAATCATATGAACTACTACGGAAATCCACTAAAAGCTATGATTAAGGCCATAAAGTCACCACAATAAATAATAAATCCTCATAGAATGATTCCTTGCTATGTGAGAACGGTTGAAGTGGCTGTTTTAAACATGCGCGAATGTTTTCTTCAGTCGTACGGATACATTTCAGCAAGTTCTCTCGTGTACAGTCAGGAGTACTTGGTTATGGCCGCATTAGGCGTGAGGCCCACGGGACGGCTTTCAGCTATTTCTTAGTAGAATACACCGAGTACTCTAAATCGTTAACTACGGATTCTAAACACATGGCTTTCAGCTCTCCCGTAGTAGGGCACCAAGTACTTTAAATCGTTAACCAGGTTTTCCCAACACACAGGTGATGGCTACGAGCTAATGTGTACAACATGTGACCTGAATGCCGTTCTTTGCTTGATAGGGCTCAAGCAGTTTTTTTTCAACATGGGCTCGTCAATTGTAAAGCAAACGAGACGGCTTTATGCTCTGCCATAGTTACACAGTGTTGTGGAAAGGGCGCCTCCATTACATTCCAATTTCATTTCGGGGAATGAGAAGTTGCCGCAATTTCATTCCTTTAAATTCTCCGAAATTAAAAAAAAATTTGCCCATTCCGCCCCACGTCTCAAATGCCCATGGCCGGGCTGTTCAATTCCATTCTCGTAATTCCTCAACTTTGGAAAGACATCTTTACAGTTTTATTCAGTTGAGAAAAATGACCCATCGACGTCATTCGATTAAAAAATGCAAAAAAAAAACTTTTAGCAGTGCCATACATTGGGCATTTTGGTAAACGTAACTCGAAAACATACTGAGAGCTAACATATTAAGCGCATTGTTTTGTCGTCTCTCTTACATCCATCTTTGTTAGCGCTCTATATGCTTTCCAGCATTTATTCCGGCTGAACGGATATATACGCCTTGGAATGGGAAAGATATTGCGAATCCACTCCGGGAATCTATGAAGTATAGTAGATGTTTTCGAATTTGCATAGGAATGCAAAACACGTTACAAAGGTCTTGGGCTAGTCGCTTGGTGACATACCTCGTGCAATACCCTAACCTGCTAATTCCTGTAGGGCAGTTGGCTACGTATAGTATTTGCATGATCAGCATTTTCAAACGAATGGTGATGCCTTAACAACGTGTAAGCTTAAATGTGTTAATACAAAAGTGAAGGCATAGCATATTTTTCTGCCGACCATGTTAGTGGTCAAGAAGACCAAACAGTCTTACCAGGTGTGGAGTGATCATGAATATGAAAAAAACTACGATATGCTTGAAGCAGAGCAAAACCCTTAAGATCTTCTTGTATTAGTTGGAACAGTGCACCGCTCGGGCACCTTGTGCCTTTGCATCGAATACGCAACACTGGAACGCAGCTGTCTCGCTTGTAAAGCGTACCTCGCAACTATGAATGGGGTGAGAAGTTGTGTTCGCCTGTGTGCAGGTATGCAATCTCTTCCATTGTCGCAAAGGTTACTTAAGTCTGTCGGGTACTAAGCTGCTGATGGGATAAAGTTCAGGCTGTACTCAGAGTATCATTAGAAACCAACGTGCACGAGTATCTTGTTTCTTCCTTCAGTATCTGCCGCTATAATACACTTGTTTGCACCCTAACTTATCCCTCGGTTTCTCTTTTACAAATAAGCGGATCGTTCATACTTTTACATCACGCTACTCTTGGCTATGGCTTGGCTCTGGTCAACTAAAAGTGCAGCCAGAGAATGCGCAGTGATCTCTGACTTCAATAATTCTTATTGAGCTTTAACGTCCCAAAACCACCATATGACTATGCGTGATAGATAAGTAAAGGACTCTGGAAATTTCGAGCACCTGGGGTTCTTTGCATGCACCTAAATCTAAGCACATGACCCTCAAGCATCTTCACCTCCATCGAAATTGTGGCCGTTGTAGCCGACATTCGATCCTGTGGCTTGAGGGTCCATGTCTGTGAAAATCATGTTCAGCATGGCGTCGTCAACTGCAGCTTTTTGATGGGCAGGCACGGAGCTGCAGCCAGCGGTCAAGGCGAACGTTATCTTCGGCTGGTTTCCCAGCCTTTTCTCTGGTGGCGTATACTCATGCTCGGGCTTTCTTCTGAGGTGCCAAAACAAATTCGACGATACACTGACTACAGCATGTACGATTTCGGAGCAAAATTTGCAGCGTGCAGCTTCTTTGTTTTCTACGCATGTAATTAAAAAAACTGTTGCCAGTGTGCCATGTTCGCGGACGAAAAGTGCGTACTCGAGCAGCTGGGCGCAGGAGCCAGTGGGTCTCTTACATTTTCAGGCCCCGGCAGCTTTCTGGCAGCCAGAGCTAGCCAAAAGTCAGCCAGCTAGTTCTGATGGGGGTAGGAAACAGCGTAGTGGTCACGTGTGTGGGGAGCCCGAGACAACCCGAAGCTGCCCGAAGATTGCAAAATCGAACGCTGGGACAGCGAGCGTAAACAAACTCTGACGTCGTGGCAGCAAACGAAACAAGGCGCCGCGGCTTGTTTTGGGACTTGCCTGGGCTTGTTTTCTGCCCCTGAGTGGAACCTAACAAACGTCATGTATACCAGCTTTGATTCAACCTACTTGGTCATAACCGTTCATACTGGACGGCATTATTACGAAAAGGTGAAAAAATACAAAATTGACAATGAAGTATTATTGTTACGTAAAAATGACACGAGGCAAATCTATTTAGAATCTATGTTGACACTGATGCGTATAGCATCGACTAAAATTGAGGACAGCACGCACAACCGACAGACGACTTCCTCTTTGTCGTCTTCTTTTACCCCGGCGGTAAAAGCGCCGTCTCAGTGCACATTAATTACGGTCTTCAGAAGGCAGGTGGTAAGGTTTTAGCCTGCTGACGTGCACAAATTCACTGGGTGTGGTTGCAGCCAGGCTTGTGGTCTCAGATGCAGGAATGAAATCATAGGTGACGTTAGTTTCCTGGCGCATGATACGGTAAGTACCCATGTAGCGAGACAACAACTTCTTTGATAAGCCAACTCGACGAACTGGGCACCACAGGAGAATGAGAGAACCGGGTGAGAAGCGAAAGTCAACATGCCGGCTGTCGTAGATGGCTTTCTGGGTGGCTTGTGAAGCCGAAAGTCTAGAGCGGGCGATCTGACGTGCGTCGTCGGCACGAGCAATAGCATCGCATGCATAATCGGTTGACGGCTTTGTAGTGGTTGGAGTGGTAACGTCGGATCACGGCCATAGTTGAAATAAAAGGGTAGAAAACCAGTGGTGTCGTGGCACAAATAATTGTACGCGAAGGTCATGTGAGGTAGCGCCAGGTCCCAGTCATGATGGTGGAAGGACACATCGTGAGCATGTCCAAGAGGGTGTGATTTAGGCGTTCAGTAAGGGCCATTTGTTTGGAGATGGTAGGAAGTGGTCAACTTGTGCTGTGTCGAGAAGAGCGCAGAAGATCGTGGATCACTCAGGACAAAAATGCGCGGCCGCGAACCGTGAGTAATCGACGAGGAGAGCCATGGTGTAGGATGACATCGTGGAGCAAAAAGTCCGCAACGTCAGTAGAGATGCTGGTGGGGAGTGCTCGAGTTATGGCATACCTAGTTGCGTAGTCTAGGGCAACGGCGACCAACTTGTTGCCCGAATACGACTCAGGAAAAGGATCGAGAAGGAAGGTTCGGTTGGGATGGAGATCGGTTGAAGAAGTCCAGCCGCGGGCGCAGTAGGTCGCTTCCTATGTTGGCATTTATTGCAGGAGGACACGTAACGGCGAACGGACCTGGCGAGACCACGCCAAAAAAGCGGCGACGCAAACGCTGGTACGTCCGAGATACATCCAGATGACCAGAAGTTGGTTCGTCGTGAAGCTGGTGCAGCACGGTTGAACGCAAATGTTTCGGCACGACAAGAAGGAGCTCAGGGCCATCTGGCTGGAGGACACCACGGTACAGCGTGCCACTCCAGAAAACGTACATGCGAAGCGACACGACGTTCGGAGCAGATTCTAGACGGTAAATAAGTTGTCGCAGGGAAGCATCACGACATTGTTCATTACCAGTCTGAAGAAACTAGGACATTGACATGACGCTGAGGCCAGGCTCGATGTCTGATTTGTCGGTCTGATCAACAGGGTAGAGGTATAAGCAATCGGCATCCAAATGGAGACGTCCAGATTTGTAAACAACCGAGTAGGAATACTCCTGTAGGCGTAATGCCCAACGGTCAAGTCGTCCAGTGGGGTCCTTCAGAGAAGAACGCCAACACAGCGGGTGGTGATCTATTATGACACGAAAAGGGCGGCCATAC